CAGTGGTCTGACCCCAGTGCTCCTGGCCGCATCTTTCGATGGTCTCTTTCTGCAGGGCCAGGGCAGGAAGGGCAGTGCTACAGCATCCCAGGATAGAGTACCCGTCGTCTCCCCCTTAGCCTTGCCACCCTCCACCTGGGGGCAGTCACCGGGTGCAGATGTCTCTTGGCCAGCTCTGCTCAGGCAGCTCTGCGCTGAGACATCCCTGGTCCCTGCTGGCTTGCTCTCTGCCTCAGGACCTTGGCGGGAACTAAAACGGGAGCGGTTACTTTTTAACATCTTGTTTTGTTTATACTTGTTGAGGGCAGGAGGCCAGCAGTTAGTTTTAATGGCACAGTGAGTCCCCCTTCAGTTTGCTGGTGTTCCAGGCCTTCCTCACCCCCTAGCGAGTTACACCTGGGCAGCGAAGGGTAGCAGGTGGCGGTCTTTGTGAACTAGACTATCAGTGGCTTTAGGTTCGCCTCATGTTAATACATGGTTGCTGTCGTTCCAAAAGTTGTGCCCACAGTCAGGACAGAAACAGGCAAAAGATGCTCCTCTAACCCATTTATTCATTTTTTTTTATTTTAGGGGGGAGCGTGTGTGTGGAGGCCAGAGGTCAGCATCTGTGCCTTCCTCAATCATCGTCCTTCATTTTTTTGTGTGTATGTAGTTGTGTGTGCACATGTGTGTGAGTGCATGTTTACGTGTGTGTGTATGTGTGTGTGTGAGTGAGTATGTGAGTGTGGAAGCCAGAGTCAGTAGTATCCGGCTTGCTATCTTACTTTCTGAGGCAGGACCTCTCACTGAACTTGGAGCTCATGATTTGTCTAGACTGGCTGTCCAGGAACTACATAGCTTCCAGTTTCCGCCTCCCCTGCGCTGCAAGCACATGGTGTTCTGCTTTCCCACGTGGGTTCCGGGAGCTGGGCCTCACGCTTGTGGGGCAAACACTTGAGCCACTGAGCCATCTTCCCAGCCTCCTCGGGTCCACGGAAGAACAAAGCCCCTTCTAGAATCTTTGGCAGGGTCCTGTAAGGTGGACTTGGCTTTCCCAGCCCCTCAGTGGGGATGGACAAGGGAGGAGGAGATAGAGCCGTGATGTGTTTGTTGGTTGAGCATCTCATCGAGAAGCTCCCTGGGCACCCTTTCCCATCGCCATTCCCGCCCTCCTAGTCCTTATCAACGAGTATTAAGGAGTTCTCATGAGTGGGACCCGTGGGATACTCTCAGGATGTCCGTGCCGTGGGATACCCTCAGGATGTCTGTGGGATGCCCTGAACACAGGCTGGCGAGGCTGGGTTCTGAAGAGTGTATTCCTTTCCTGTTGAGCCTCTGGGCAGACACGTTTGTAAGCTTTGCTGTTTGCGCTGGGTGTTGCTGTGGTGGGATTTCAGCCTTGGTCGCGGAAATCCAGATAGCACTGAGCAATCCCAGGGGTAGGGTGAGGCATGCAAGATGAGGCATGTCATCAGGATGGTCTCTGAAACGCCTGTTAGTTGCCCGAGGTCTCTCTGATGCCAGCTCCCATTTCATGGAGACTAAACTCTAGTTTCGGTTATTCCATCAGCCCTTTCTAGACTGATTTCTTTTGGTAGTTGCCATTTTTGATTTTGAGAAAGAGTTTCACTCCGTCACCCAGGCTGGCCTCAAAACAGACGTCCCCCTGCCTCAGCCTCCGAAGTGCTGGAATTACACGTGTGAACCACTGCATAGTACTTCCGGCTTTGCGCACTGGCTTTGACTAATTAATGAATTAATTAGAGACACTGTCTTGCTGTGTGGCCCCTGACAGAACCGGAACTTACTACGGAGCCCAGTTGGTCTCCAACTTTTGCTCCTTCCTGCTTCAGGGTCCAGGATGTCAGCAATAAAAGCATGCCCAGCTCCTCTCCACATTCCCAGTTAGCAAGTGGTCCTCCTTTCCCCAGGAGCAAAAGGAGAGAGGAAGGATGGCTCAGTGGGTAGAGGCATTTGCCTTGCAAGCCTGCCGACCAGAGCTTGACCCTCGGGACCTGTACACAGACGGGAGAGGACCAAGCTGTCCTCTGACCTCCACATGTAAACCTTTGCACCTCCCAACAATGAACAAACAAACACACACAGCATAAAAAGGGAGGGAGGGAGGGAGGCAGGAAGCTTAGCTTTCAGTGGAAGGCCAGCTCAGCCACAACCCAGCTCCACGCCATCATTCCTCCACGGTACACGGCACAGACTCCTGTATCACACGTGAGTCAGGCTCTCTCTGTGCCTTGGTTTACTTACCGAAGCCAGAGAGGGTGCCAACAGCCTTCGTATTGATGGTGTTGGTGTGTTCTGAGCCAGCGAGATAGCTCAGCAGTAAAGTTGCAGTTGCCGAGCCCGAAAACCCTAGTCCAACCTCCAGGACTCCCATGGTAGAGGGAGAAAACGGATGCCTGCAATGTGTTCTCTGATTCTCACATGTGCACTGTGGCTTCTGTGTGCCCACACATGTACACAAGCACATACTAAACTTTAAAACGTCATTGAAAAGTTGTTCTATTTGAGTCAAATACTGTTTTTATTTTATTGTAGCTTTCCTTACAATATTATTTTAAATATTTAATATAAAATATTTAGTTTATTTATAATAAAAGTATTATTAATGAATTATAAAACTTCAGCTTCTTGGATTTTTTTCCTGTTTTTTTGGCTTTACTTTAAGCTCACTACCCACTGCCGCACTTGGGATACTTTCCTTGTTAATAAACGAGAGAGAGAGAGAGAGAGAGAGAGAGAGAGAGAGAGAGAGAGAGAGAGAGAGAGAGAGAGAGAGAGAGAGAGAAGGAAAAAAATCTGGTTTCTTAAAATTATATGAAAATTGATACATCTAGACAATGGACTTATTATTCATCGCTACAGCAAAGGCAGAGGTTCAGCCATGAAAAGATGAGGAGGAAGCCAGGTGTGGTGGCGCACGCCTTTGATCCCAGAACTTGGGAGGCAGAGACAGGTGGATCTTCGTGACTTCCGGGCCAGCCTGGTCTATATATAGTGAGTTCTAGGCCAGCCAAGGTCACACAGCGAGACCCTGTCTTAAAAAGAGAGAGGAGGAGGAAGTAAAGAAGACAAAAGACACACATTACTAGCGGCAGAAGCCAATCTGGACAGACTACCCACTGTCTAAGCCCTGCCCTGACTTTCTGGAAAAGACACAACTGTGGAAACAGATTAGGAGTGGTCAGTGTTGGGATGGAGCCTCAGCTCACGCAATTTGTTGGTCACTGAAACTCCCTCGTAGGCTACAATAAAAGCAGAAGTTATTCACGGATTGTGCAATTCTGACCGTGAACCCTGACACAGAGACCTCGGGTGCTTACAGCGTGGCCACAAGGTTTTATGGGCAAGGGATGTCCCAGGGGGTGCAAGGTGTTGATGGCCAGGGAGGTCATGTGCAGGGCGGGTAATCAGAATTGCTACCATCTGCTCTGCTTGCCTGTGACCCTAAACGTGCCCTGGGTGGCTAGGCTCAGTTGGTGGTGCTTCCCCAGAGTTTATGACGCTCCAGGCTCCACCCCCAGCACTGCTGTGTGGTGGTGTATGCCTGTGACACCAGCACTGGGGAGGTAGAGGAAGGAGACCCAGAAGTTCAGGGTCACCCTCAGCCTGGGAGACAGGAGACCCTCCCTCCCCTCACAAAGTAAACTTGGCTTAAGTGTGTTCCTACATAGATGAGTAAAAGTATCTAACCATCTATCTATCTATCTATCTATCTATCTATCTATCTATCTATCTATCCATCCATCCATCTATCATCTATCTATCTATCTATCTATCTATCTATCTATCTATCTATCCATCCATCCATCCATCCATCCATCCATCCATCCATCTATCTATCATCTATCATCTATCTATCTATCTATCTATCTATCTATCTATCTATCTATCTATCACAATACAATCCCAGTTCCCCCGCCTCCTCTCCTTCCACTCTCCCCTCCTCCTCCCCACTCCACCTCCCATCTGCTCCTCAGAGAGAGGAAAGCCTCCCCTAGGATTTCAACTAAGTCTGTCCTATCACCTCACTGAGGCGGGGAAAATGTCCCAATGGCCTGCCAAAAAACTTCCTCAGTGTTGGAAGGGGACCTGGATGGCAGAGAGGGGACAGCATGGGTGTTCTTACAAGGACTTCTTCCTCTCTGTCTCCCTGGCTGTGGGCAGTTGAGGGCTCCCCCTCCTCCCACTGGCAGAGGACAGGGCCAGGCCAGCAGCGCGCACCGATCCTTAGATGAAGGGAGTGTTATTTAGTCTAGAAACTCACAAAGGAAATATCTGCTTGCACGTGAAAAATCTATGGAATGCCTCTCTCCCCTCAGTCAAAGGCCCTGTCTCTGTGAGACCACCGTGAAGAGCCCCGTGCACAGTTCACAATCACAGCCTTGTTCAGTCCTGGGCACGGCAGCCAGTCCAGGCACCTGGTGGCACTGCTGTGTCATTCAGTCTCCCTTGCTGTCCTGAGCCTCCAAGGGTGAGAGGCTGGACAGGATGAGGGAGGGGAAGAGGGGGAGTCTCTGTGGTTGGAAGAGAGACCCGGAGAAACGAAGGAAGAACTGGGAAGCTAAGCCGGAGTCTGAGTCTGATTCAGGAGGACTCTGCCCCCGACCCTCTGTCTTGTCTCTTCCTCCTCCCCCTCCCTTCCCCTCTCCCTCTCTTGGTTTCATTTAGACAGGGTCTTCTATAACAGCTCAGGGTGACCTTGACCTCCTGGTCCTCCTGCTTCCACTTTCTCAGTGCCGGGGTCACAGGGTACACAGTGCCACCATATACAACCCCTGCCTGTCTTTAATTGATCCCTCAAATTTCCTTCCTCTTTCTTTTTCCAGTTCTTTTTAAACACACTTATTTAGTGCGTGCGTGCATGAGTGTGTGTGTGTGTATGTGTGTGTAGAGGTCAGAGGACGCTTGCGATTGGTTCTATGTGGCAAGTACAGGAGAACTTATGGGGACCTGCTCTCTTCTACCCTGTGGGTCCTGGGAATTGAACTCGGATCTCCAGGTTTGAGGACAAAGGCCTTTATTTTCAGGGTCACTTCGGGGTCTCCTTCCTTTCTTGAGATCTGCTTCTCCAGAGGCCTCGGAAGGCTCTAGGCCTGGGTTTATCTGGGTAAGCATGCTGAGATGCAGGGCACTGGGTGAGCGTGTGCAGCTTTCTCTCTGGTGTGACAATCGGGGCATTCTTCATCCAGTCTCCTGGCCCTTCTGTCCCAAACCCCAGCACCCTTTGTAGGATCCTCTAGTCTTCACACGAGACCAGTTTCGGCAGCAGAGGCAAAAGACGTGGCCCTGCTGTTTCTATAATGGTCTTTCCTTCCCGGTCAGCATGCCGACGAGTGACGCCGTCTGATGCTGGATAAGAAGCCCAGGGTTCCAGGGCACCCACCGGAGAACCAGCGGCGCTCAAGTACCAGGCATGAGGACTTTAAATAGAACGCTGCCAGCGGTGCACTTAGAGTAACAGCAGCCGGCTCTCCCGGCCAGCCCTTTCCAGAGCCTAGCATTTAACTTCCAGACAACTCCAGGCAGTCTCAACACCACGTGAGTTCACTGGGGCAAGTGCAGCCTCGTGGTCCGCTCTGTCCACGCATCTCAAATTTCCAGCCTCAAAGTTGATTTCCTAAGGACTATGCGGAACCTCTCACATTCCTACACACACACACACACACACACACACACACACACACACATATACACACACACACATACACACACACACCACACACACACACCAAGCACTCACACACACACAACAACAATCCTTGTTTTTCAAAATGTAGTCTTACTTGGGAATGTTATTACGTCAAACCCTTAAAAATGTGGACAGTTTGGTTTCAAAAGACTTGATGGGGCAAATTTCAGACCTCTTGATTCTTTTTTTTCCAACATCTTTGCTTTGAGGTCGTTTCTGCAATCTAGCCTGGCAGCAGCTTAGCGGATGCGGCTAAGGTCACATAACGAAGGATTCATAGATGCCGAGTCCGGCCCAGCAGCTACTCAGATCTGGAAATATTTTCCCTTCAAAACAGAAATCAAGAGGTTACTTTGGGGCCACCCGACACGCTCAAAAGACTTTTGTTAAAACTAGTTGGGATTTGTTGGAAGGGCTCCTCTGCACCTTCTCGGGTTAAGGTTTTGGGTTCCTGCGCTGCTTGAACCTGTGGACAAGCACCTGGGGCTGGTCCAGTCGGGAGCTTCAGGAGGTTAGAGAAGGGGGCGGAAGAGACTCAGGCTGCAGGGTGGCTGGCTTTTTTTCCAGAGGCTTGTGTGGGGGTCAATTTTCTGGCCCTCAGTGAAAGGCCAGGCGGCGGGGCCTCACAGACCGCCGACCTCATCGCCAGCTCAGCAGTCCTGTTAAGGAGTGTGTGTGTGTGGGGGCAGCATCATAGGTGCGTTTCCTCCTGGGGCTGGTCAAAAGGCAACGTCAATAGCCCCACTTGCTTGTCATTTGGGAAAACAGTCCTCACATAGAGTCAGAGGAGCCGTAGGGAGTCGGGAGGCTCGCTGACACAGTCCATACCCACTTTGCAAGTCTCCAAGAAACCAGACCACACAAGGCTGCCTTGAATGTACCAACGTAGTTCCCTGGAGCAGAACAAATTCCTCAGCTGTGGAAAACCTCTCGCAGGAGTGCCCAGAGTCTAGGCCAGTGCCTGGTGTGTGGAGCTGCCAGGCGGGGCTAGCATTGAGCTGTGAAGTCAAGGCAAGGACAGAAACTCTCGGAGCTGGCCTGAAGCAGATAGTGGAGGTGCAGATGGGGAATGAAAACACAAAACAAAACAAAACTCGCTATTGAAAACAGTGATCAAAGCTCAGGGGGAGTTCCCCGGGTATGGGAGAGGGTGGAGGGGAAGGACCCAGAAAGGGAGCATGCGTGTAAAGGCTGAAGAGAAGAAATGAGATGAGTGGTCACCCTCAAGGTAGTGCAGGGGGAGCGGACAGCGTGTACTAAGGCCCTGTGGAAGGAAGGGTGGCCTGTGTGTGCCTGATGTGTTCAGGCTTCAGCAGGGCCGTATGCATTGCCTTAGGCAAGAATGCACAGGGCCATAGCCAGGAGGTTGAAGAGGGCGAAGACACGAGCTTTTTCTAGGGCTTGCTAGAGTTTGACAGACAACCCCTCAAACCATGCCTTGGAAGTTTGATCTTCAAAGCACAAGTGTCGAAGGGTGGGATACCCCCCAGTTTTGAGGCAGGTTCTTGCTACGTGGCCCAGGCTGACCTCAAACACACAATCCTCCTGCCTCAGCCTCCTAAGTTCTGGGGCTACAGGAGTGTCTCACCATAGGCAGTAGAGTGGAGCTTTTAAGAGTGTTTACGTCACGAGTGCTCCTCTGCCAGGGATGGATTAGTGCTGTCGCTGGGAGAAGGGTTATTTGAAGAAGGAGTCTCTGCAGGAGTCTGGAGCCAGGCACGGGGGCACACACCTTTAGTCTGAGCATTCGGGAAGCAGATATCTGGCGGGCAGGACTACAGAGTGAGACCCTGCCCCCCTCAAACAAACAAAAACAAAACAAAACAAAAAACCCACACAAGTCCGGGCCCTGCCTGTATGTCTCCATGATTATTTTTATTTAGACAAGGTGGCCTCAAACTCACTGTGTAGCCAACTGAATTTCTGGCCCTCCTGCTTCCCCACCGAGTGCTGGGACTACAGGCCTGGCACCGGGGCTCCATCCCAGGTTTCCAGCAGGCTGGGCAAGTGACTACCAGCTGAGCCACGTCCCCAGCCCAGTGGGTTTCGAACCTATTGAGCTTTTGTGTTTGTTCTTGTCTCTGTGTGAGAGACAGGCAGAGCGGGCACTCTGGCCTGTGGGACTTCTTTACCTTTAGAGGTGGCTTCCAAGACACTGAGTCACTCTCATACCACCCATGTAGAGCTATCCTGAAACAAAAAACAAAAACCTAAAATAAACCTACCCTGTTTCCTGGCAGTCCTGCAGTTCACGAGGGGGCGGCCAGGAGCGCAGTGTGGCGGCACCGAAGAGGCAGGTTGCAGAAGGAAGCACCGTGTGTGGGACACTTGGCTGCCGCTCCGTCGTGTGGGGGCTGCATCAGGCTGGGGTCTGCTTCTCCAGGGAGTCAGACCCCAGAAAACACGCAGGGGTGGGTGTGGCTAAGCGAGCTGAGCCGCAAGCTGGCTGCCCTAAGGCTAACACCCGGGGGTGGAATTGCAACCTGGACTCGTCTGCTGACCAGTCTCCCGCTCCTGAGCCCCAGCTGTGCTGGGAACTGACCTCATTCATGAAGTAAACACTGAATCAGATACCAGTGGGCCTAACCTTGGTGGAGTGGAAACAGCTCAGATCTTTTCGTAATTACGAAGCGGCCAATTGCGCTTGGCAAGAGCCCCTTGAAAGATGTCAGGCGGAGTGAGTTCATGAGCGGCTCCTGCCAGCTTCGTCAGCAGTCAGTCACCTTGCTGCGGTTGAAAGGACTTGTGTTAAAATGTTTTACTTACACTCTAGTTTGGAGACTCCAAATCTCGTCCTGGGAAGCAGGGCAGGCTAGCAACTGGAAGACAGGACTGGGAACCCACTGGCTGCAGATGAGCCCTGGACACATCTGTAGTGGGTCTCACGAACCAGATGTTCCTGAGGCAGTATAACGTAGGCCTGTCTCATGATGAGGAAGTCCAGGCTGGAATCCAGAGCCCGGTGTTGGTGTGTCCTGCTTTTCGGTCACAGACACCGGCTGTAGGTGGACGTGCTCCCCTTTGGTTAGTGGGCCATTCAGGCTCTTCATTCCCTTGCTCATTCCGAGAGGTTTGTCCGGCAGATGAGAGTTAGTCTGTGCTCTACTGTACCCGAGGCTACTTTGCAGTGCACTTTCAGAGAGAAATAGTTTCTTTTGTCCTAAAGATTTATTTTTAAAAAATTGTAAGTGTGTGCAAGTAACCCCAGAGGCCAGAAAAGATCACTGAGTCCCTTTGGAGCCAGAGTTATAGGTTGTGAGCTGCCCAACGTGGGTGCTGGGAACCGAAGCTGGGTTCTCTGTAAGAATAGTACACGCCCTTAACCACTGAGATGTCTCTCCAGCCCTGAGAAATAATTCCTAAATATTCCCTCTTAGCCTCATTTGAACAGGGAGATGCTGTCATTCAGTAGTGTCAGACTGCTTGAGTTCAAGTCCCAGCTCTACCTCTTATAAGTGGGTGGGCTTGGGCGGGTCTCTCTCTTCTGTGCCTTGGGTCTAAAGGGTTAATTCCGGGGCACAGCAGGAAATCGACAAGCATTATTATAGTCTGCTCGTGCTGTTATGATGAAACTTCACAGACTGAGTAATTCGTTAATGTTAGAAATCTATTTCTCCTGGTTCTGGAAGCAGGGAGTTGGATTTGACATCTGGTGATGTCAAACCCTTCCTGCTGCTTCCCAATGAGACAGTAGAAGTTTAGGGAAGGACATCTCACTCAGAACCTTCAGGCCTTCTCTACCGTATCTAATTCCCGATGGTGGCACTCGGATGACTCCATCACCCCCCCAAAGGCCTTACCACACTGCAGGGATTAAATTCCACATGAGTTTTAAGAGGGACACCGTCCCTCAGGGCAGGGCAATCTTTGTTACTATCATCGCCACCAGTGAGCTAGGACAGACACACTAAAAAGGAATTTTGGACATCTTATACTAAGTACACAGGGTCACTGTCAGCACCAGGAGTGTCCAGTCTTTGGACACTGCAACACGATGTTGCCACCTGCAACTGAGTCACAAAAACAAACAAGCAAGCAAGAAAACAAAATTCAGAAAAAATAGCAATGCTTTGACAAGTTTACAATTTTGCTGTAGGTGGCACTTCCAGCTATCCTGGGCCATTTGCGGCCTCAGGTTGGACACGTCACTGGGCACCAATAGCTGCTGTCCAGGTGTGGTGATAGGAATCCAAAAGCCAGGGCTGGAGACATGGCTCAGCGGTTAAGATCTCTGGCGGCTCTTCAGAGGACCCAGGTTCAGCTCCCAGTACCCCCACATGGCAGCCCACAACTTTTTGTGACTCAAACTCCAGGGGATCCGACACTCTTGTTTGGCTTCTATGGGCACCAAGCATACTCCAAGAATAATGAACATGCATATATTTAGGCAAAAATTCATATATATATACATATTAGAAATTAAAAAAAAAAGAGGAAGGAAGAAGCCGATAGACCAGGCTGACGGTGCCATTATGTCAGTTAAACCAGGAGCCCAATTTCCCCCTTAATTCTTGGTCTGTTATATGGAGTGGAAGTTTCCTGTGGTAACCATGTCTGGCCTTGATACTGAAGTAACTCAGGGTGTAAAATCACTTGGGGATGATATTATCGTCATAGAATGATAATAGTGTTGTCTCTTGCAGGGCTGTGGAAGCTATTTTTGTCATGGCCTCTTGTGGTTTCAATTGTTTGTTGGCCTCGAAAAGACCTTCCCCTTCCCCCCAAATGAAACCATCCCACAGAGCCTCACTTTGTAGCCTGGGCTGGCCTTGAACTTACAGAATCTCCTGATTCAGCCTCCCCAGTGCCAGCATGGCAAGGATGCACTGCTTGTTGTTCTTTGTTGCAGCTCCGATGCAACATGATCCACCAAGCTCAACAAGCCCACATGGAGATTGTTGGGAAAGGGAGCGAAGGGAGGGGAGCAGAGATGGGAAGAAGAGGAAGAGAACAGGCCGGAGGCGCCTGCTTCTAAAGGGAACGGAACAGTTTAGAGTCTCAGCAGCTGGGGCTGTTGACACCGGAGTCACGGAGCTGCCGGTGGCCTAGCTCCACACGGCCCCAGCTCCATGCAGAGTCTGCATGCAGAGTCCTTATGCAGGCACCTAACGCATGCACGATGCAGCCATGCTGGTTTCTGCATGCAGAGTCCTTATGCAGGCACCTAACGCATGCACTGCACGACACAGCCCACGTTTCCCTCTGTAGAGGAAACTGCATGAACCACCACTCCCACTTTCCCTGTTTCTGCACCTTCCTCCCATCACCCTGATCCCCGTCTGTGCCCGGAAGAGAGGCGGTATTCCTAGAGGTTTTCTTATCCATGGTTTGAAAGGGGGGTTAGGACAGACAAGCCTTGGCAGGGGTACTGAGCACCTCTTGTATTTTAGGGTGCTGTGAGGAACCACGAAGACCAAAAGCAAACGCTGGGTTTATTGGAATGTTTGTTTTTGAGGCAGGATCCCATGCATCTCAGGCTGTCCTCAAATTCTATTGTCTTTGTCAGGGTCTTTATTGTGGTGATGACCAAAGCGACTTGGGGAGGAAAGAGTTTATTTGACTCACACTTCCACACTGTAGTCCACCACAAGGAAGTCAGGGCAGGAACTCAGACAAAGCAGGAACCTGGAGGCAGGAGCTGATGCAGAGGCCATGGAGGGTGCTGCTTACTGGCTTGTTCCTCAGGGCTTGCTCAGTCTGCTTCCTTCCTTCCTGTTTTTTTTGTTTTGTTTTGTTTTTTGTTTTTTTGATACAGGGTTTCTCTGTGTAACAGCTCTGGGTGTCCTGGAACTCACTCTGTTGACCAATCAGGCTGGCCTCGAACTCACAGGGATCCACCTGCCTCTGCCTCCCAAGTGCTGGGATTAAAGTCATGTGCCACCACCCCCTGACTCAGCCTGTTTTCTTACAGAATCCAGGACCACCAGCCCAGGGACGGCCATACCCATCCGCCCAAGGGTGGCTCCGGCCACAATTTGACTGGGCCCATGTCAATCACTAAGAAAATGTTCCACAGGTGTTCCCACAGCCTGGTTTTATGGAGGCATCTTCTGAATTGATGCTCCCCCCTCTCAGGTGATGATGGCTTGCGTCGAACTGACATAAAGTAGCCAGGGCATCCGTCTACATGACTGAAGACAGCCCTGAACTTCTCCCCCTGCCTCCGCCTCCCCAGTACTGGCAATGCCTGTCATCACTCCTATTTTATGTGGGGCTGGGGATCCAACCCAGGGCCTTCTGCGTGCTGGGTAAGCACTCTAGCAACTAAGCCACATCATCACAAACTAAAAATCCAAAACCTCAAAGAAAGGCCAATGAGTTTAGGGTTGCTTCTAGGCAGAAGTGGGTGGTTAAGTGTACGGTTGGTGGGCATACAGAAAGGTAACGATGGGGTTGGCGCTGATGCCCAAAGTGATGCCTTGGATAGTCTTACTAAACCAAAGGGAGGCAGTGGGCATCCACACTGCTCTCTATAGCTTCACTACTTCTCATGAAATTTATGGACCAAAACAGTGACAAAAAGCCTACTGAGGCTTGAGGATATCTCCATGGAAGGGGACACCATTTCACGCAGCTAGAAAGGGCCAGAGCTGGAATTTGTGCCTAGACCCCATGTCTAAGGTAAAGGCTCCCTACACCACTGGGACTCTGGAGCATGGTGATGCGGAATTGTACCAACAGATGGGACAGTGTCAGTCCAAAGAATTCTCTGGTGGCAGGCCAAAAAATTCTGTCCTTGGCTTTAATCTCTTTAGCGTTCTATCAACGACTTGGATGGGACCAAAGATAGCTGCTTATCAACTGTGCAAACAGCCCCAGACTGGGAAGGATGGCCAATCTGTTGGATTGCAACATTGAGATCCAAAATTATCTCAACAGGAAGGAATGCCTGGTTAATCCCAAGGAGATAAAATTGAACAGGAATACATGCAAGGTCCCGAATTTAGCTCTGAAACTTGACTGAGGCAGTGTAGGAAGTGACTGGAAAGGAGTCCAGTCTTACTGGTAATCAAAGAAATGCAAATGAAAGCAACCCTGAGATAAGCATTTTCCTTTATCAGATTGGCAATGATTAAAAAGGAGGAGAATTCCTGGAGCTGCTGGGGCGGGAAGATTACATGAGATCTTGTAAATTGCCCATGGGCTTGCACACCACAACACCCTCTCTGGAAGGTAATTAGGAAACTTACAACAGAAACACTTTCCCCAGAAGTCTCATTTATAGAAAGGCGTCTAAAGACAAGTCGGGAAAGATTTATGTACCAAGATGTTCCTCAAAAGCACCATTAAGAAAAGAAAACTATTTTGGAAGAGGGAAAGGCATTTGGTTTGGGAACAGAAGACTTGGAGGCCACAGAAGGGTACCACACAGCTACTGCCAAGTGCTCCACGCCTTAAGGAGACAGACTCGGCTTCCCCGTAGAGCATCCATGTTGTAAGCCAAGCAAGCCCAGTGGGATTTAGGAGACATCTCTTTGGCTGAACAACACAAAGTACAT